ATCATAATGCAACCTCTTTTACTTCCTTGCGTTAGAAACACCCCATCTTTTGTTTCTTTCCTGTGCGCCCATTGTTTCCGTGGTGCTATATATAAACGTCAAGTTTGAAGTTGGTATCCAAGTGAGCAAAATTTGCATTATTTCAGGCCGTCTTGAATCATTCGTCTTGAATTATATCCCTAACTGACATCCTGTTATTTGTCCTGCAATGTCTGTGCCTGTGTCCGCCCTTACCTCCGGCTCCAGCCTCCAACCAGGCCTGCTGAGTGCTGAGCTATGTCGCCGGCGCGGTGTGTCGCCGGCGCGGTGTGTCTCCACTCCACCCGACAGCTGCTAGGAATCGTCCTGTGCCATGCGCCATGCGTCACAGCAATTGTAAGCTGCAGGTCACATTCGGACTGATTGGCTCCGCGTATGTGCATCCGGCCGGGTGCTAGTCGATATCAGGGACGTGGGTCGGACTGTTGTGGCGGCGTGCACTGTGCTGGTTGAAGTTGTTGTATGTATTTCTGTTAGTGAAAAGCATTAATACATAACCGTGGCCGCAGCCCAATGTTATTGTGGATTTCAGAGGGAGTGGCCAGTCAGGAGGGCCCCATGTGGGTATAGATCCAGTGTCCAGTGGGATTGGCTAAGATTTCCGGCGATTGATAAACGCTTCTATGATAGTAAACCTATTGAGGTACGAGGGAAGGTCACGTGAGGAACCTGACCTTACTAAACTGTTGTGAAAACAAGACACATACGAACGGTAAGAAACCGACAGCTCTTCTTTCTGCCAAGTGTCATCTTTCTGTGAAGGATTTCTTGGCACTGAGTGTCCAGAAATTGCGTTGCTTTTGGACTGTGTAGAGGCTCACGAGCGACAACATAGGTCACCAACCTGACGTACCTTAAATATGCGACTTGTACCAGAAGATCCAGCTTGATCAAAAGATTGTACATGTCAAATTTCAGCTCTTTAGCTCAAAAGAATTTTGAGTTATCGTAAAAACCGTCAGTGTGGCACCGTATCGCCTCCCCGCGCGGTCGGAAGGTAAAAGTTCGCCGGCTCTAACTAAACAAATAGTCGTCGTATCGCAAATTCATTGACGGCGTTCGAAGCGTCGTTCAATTTACTTTCGAAACATATCCTAACATTAACATTTATCTGCCTAGCGCAATCTCCAACAAGCAAAAGTTCCGTGCATTCATCCTCATACAGTGTTAGCGGCCGCCGGCCGCCGGCCGCTGACCCACATTCGCGTCATCAGGGAATGCCGCAACTAATTTATTGTTTCCAACTTTTTTCCCGGAGCGTTCTACCTGGTTTATATAGCCTTGGCCTGAACATCATATCAATATCATATTTTACAATTAACTTCCATTTTACATTTATTGCCCTTGACCTTGGAGAAACAGAAAGGCACCAAAGGAAGATAATGCAAAATCCACAAAATAAATGTTTAACTTACAGCAATATAAATAACTACAACTATTCTCACAAAAGCTAACAAAAGAAACAACCATCATGAAAATAGTTCATTATACTGATACACCCACCCTCACATCGCCAGGCCAGCTCGAACTGAATCACAACTGAATCACGTAGAATGGGTAGGTACTTGGGCTTGGACTTGGAAACACTGCTCGACGGTCACAAGGCCATATATAAGTTCAAGTTATTACTATAGTTACTAGTGGTGCCAATTTCATGAAATTTCAATTCCAATTCCGATCCAATTCCAAGAAATTGCCAAGTAAACTTCCAATTTTGTCCAAAGCGGGGGCTATTCCAATTTTTACGATTTTTGCATTTTTTGCGTAAATTTTAAAAGTGTTTAAAAGCGTTTTAAAGGCCTCCGTTTTAAAATTTAAAATTTTAAAGGCCTTGTGTTCCGATTAATTTCCAAAAAATGTTAAGAATTCCGTCCAAATTCCAAATTGGAATTGGACAAAAATTGGAATTCCAAGAAAAGAAATTCCGATTGGCACCAATAATAGTCACCGTGGTTATTACTTGTTTGGGAAATGGGAATCACATGTTGACAACACAGGGGGGCAGGCCGGAGCCAGCGGCGCCAATATTGAAAAGGTTGCGTAACGATTGTCAAAGTATGATTTAGCACAAAAACACTGCAAAATCGAGGGCAAAAAATAATAGAACTGGGATAACCAGCAGAACCATGTAACACACCAATAATTATCTGCAAAAACTTAAAATGCATGTATACTTTGCATGCTGCATAAAAAAGAGCATTAAATAGCCTGTCATAGAGTTTTGTATAATCGGCTTGCTTGCAAGAACTTTCGGAGTGGTTTTGACCAATTCATTGATATTTGAGTAAATCAAGCTATTTCATCGGAACTCTATTCGACATACAGCATTTAATAACACATCATATTGGGGTAAACTTGAAATCCTACAAAAGACTTGCTTGTTCAAAGCACAAACTCGTTTCTATTTTGTCTGTTCTTTAGACTGTGTTTCTAATAGGGCTTGGGCTTGGCGCAGTTCCCAACACAACAAAGCCGTGTTCTGCGCGAATAATTCTCAAAATAAACTTATATAGCATACCTACCTATGTGTTAGATCATAGATGACTCACTTTGACTTTTGAGTCATATTTGCTTGGACATTTGTATCATTTCTTGTTGTCAGTTTGCACCTTTGTAAACTTGGTAGCACAGTTCAAGTTTTGGCAAACCATGACTAGGCTACTGGAATAAGAAATGAATTTAATTAATTTATCTTAGGTAGATTTAATTAATTTATCATAGATACCTGTGTACGTAGAGTTACAAGTTATGACAATAAATGGGCATGGAATCAGTTTTCTTCATTTTGGTGTGCTCTCATATATCATGCTTTTGCCTTCTAATGACTGGTATAGGTTAAAACAAGGGTCATTCATGTCATGTTTTTTTTTTTACAAAGACAAAGTACAAAAGTGTCAGCTCAGACTGGAAAAACATGTTTTTGTTGCTTTGTCTGGTGTGACAGGTGGATTGCACCAAAATTTTGGCGCAGACCCCAGCATATTTGTGTGTGCCAAAATTAAGGCACATGGGTTGATGAAGAAATTTAGGCACAAATGGACAAACTAGAAATTTTGTTGTAAAACGATGTTTCTGAATCTGGGCACTGACTGCTTCTCAAAGTGGTGCATCCATACACTTCTCAAGGGGTATGGATTGTGGGTGGGCAATGGCTATCAGATCATTTACTTTTTCCCCATTCCAAATTTGTGTTCAGATTCAGATTGAGTGTTGTGATTTTCAGGCAATATTTGATGTGTGCTTGTGTAAAATTCTAGCTTGAACTATTTGGTGTGGGCTGATGCACATTTTCCAGTTTGCGCCAAATCCCCAATGTGCCTTTTGTCCATTATATTTCAGAGAGAAATACCCAAGATGGCAGGCTGTTTTGACTCGATGCGATTGGACTGCGAGTGTCTGGAGCTGGGCGAGCGAAGGAACGCCGTGGCTGCGGCCGTCAGTGGCGTCCTGGTAAGATGGGCTGACCCAAGGCTACATGAACCGGCTCACCCCAGCGGCATGTGGTTTCACGGACTAGCTGCTCTTACAATCGGTGAACATCATCTATCTCGGCGCTCCGGCTCGTAGGGATGGATGAGTCTGTTGGTGGTTGCTAAGTCATAGCATCTAGTGGGCGTATTATAGTGAAGCTGTTATCTCGACATTGACAATGTGTTAGCCGATGATCTCGAAAATAACCAATAACATTGTATTGTAACCCGTGCTGACATGCTAACAATTTTGTCAGAATTTTATGACGTGTCTTCTAGATGATTAGCTGCAAGAAGCATGCTTTTGCCGTGCTAACTAGTTATGCCACTTCTTACAGTGTCTGTACAGTTAAAGTTCATCGAATCCAAGCCTAGGAAAACAAGATGGTTTGTAATTATCACATTGTATTTTAGAGTGTTTCATGTTTTGATGACGATAATTTTGCTTATTTCAGTTCTTCACCGGCTGGTGGATCATGATCGACTGTGCTGCCATCTATCCGAGCATGGAGGAGATGCACCACGCCTATCACGTCTGTGGAGTGATCGGGACTATATCGTTCTTCATGTGAGTGCGCTGTAAATATGATGACGCCGAATTGTGTGTGTTGTCTATATTGAACACATATATAACTGATGACATGAGACAAGCGCTGTTTGTTACATGCCTCGTTTTCCTTCGAACTGTATCTCCTACATTATCTTTTTGAGCATTTTGGTAACTTCACATACGTTGTACCCTTCAAAATGTGTCTCTACAGTCTTGAATCTTGATGAAAAATAAAATCTTGAAAATATTTGCCCACCACAATCATGCTCGCCTTCTGACCGTTCCCACTGCTTCTTCTGCATAGGATAAACGCCGTTTCCAACGGGCACATCCGCGGCGACATGTACTCGACGGGCTGCCTGGGCCAGCGCGGCGCGCGGGTCTGGCTCTTCATCGGGTTCCTGCTGGGATTTGCTGCCATCATCGCCGCCATGTGGATCCTGTTCGCTGCCTACGTTGTCCCCGGTAAGTGTTCCTCGACGGAGTGTACGAAGGGGAAGGTGAATGCTGGGTCAGTTCACACTTCACTATTGGTCGTGCGCCGTTTTGGTGAAACGCGGCATGCTTTCGAAGTGTTGGTTGCATAGCCATATTTTATAGTTATGTGGTGTTCAATTGTTTGATTCAACTAGATTGGCAAACTTTTAATGGTCTCCGTTTTTGTTGTTAGATATGGGTAAGGGTTTGCACGTATTTTGGGGAGAAATTACTTTTACTGTACAATATGTTTAATTTGGCATAATCTTCTTGATTCTCAAATTAACACCATACTTTCGTCACTCTACTTTCGATTTCGCTGCGACCGCTCTGCTGTTCTTACCGTTTCCCTCGTCCCTGTGGTCCACCTTCTGTTGGCTGTGCCATCTGACCCTCCCTCCTCCCTCCCCCAGGAGGCAGCCGGTCCCAGTGGCCGGGCATTGCCGTCGTGCTGCAGAACCTGTTCATCTTCGCCGGCTCGCTGGTCTACAAGTTCGGCCGCTCGGAGGACCTCTGGGGCTGAGCGACGCTGGACGGCAGTGCTGCGGTCCGTGCCGGTCACCCGACGGTCTAGACAGGCTCACGGGGATCGCCGGGGTGTCCTCGATCGCCGGGCTTTCCGCGTCGCGTGGTGGACTCTTCGAGGACACTGGCGGCTAACCTAAGATCTCGCGTCTGTCGGGGTCCTCTTTCTCGAGCGCTTTGTTTCACGCCGGTTTTGTGTCAGAACTGTGTTCTCAATCCGGGGGTCGTCTCCCGAGCGCTGTTGAGCGGAGCTACCCGGCTCATCTGCGGGTGCTCACTTGGAGATGATGGCAACTCCGACTCGTTCGACCGGCCTGGTCACATCTCTGGTGCTCACCGGTCGTCTACCGCTGGACATGACTGCCCCAGTGCTCCAGCTACGGCGTGTGTTGTGCGCTATCTTTACCGAGAGTCGATCTGGCTGATCCCTCCGCAGTGGGAGCGCCCCGACGACGCACGGACTCGCCGGGTGGACATCGGTTTCGTACCGTGAGAGATCGGGACTATTGAGAGTGAAGTGCGGAGTGTTCACCGTGGGAGCCGGGAGGTGTCTGATGGTGCCTCACGTTGGATATGTCTTTGGTTGTATACTACCAAAGGGTATGTCTGCTCTGTTGGGGGTCTCTTAACTAGGCTAGTCCCCTTGAGGCTGATAATGATACTAGGCATTGTATTAATCGTGAATGGGATATAATGTAACGGAGATTGGCATTGTTCGAATTGTGAGGGAGCTTGGATTATTCGAGCAATATTCGACGGTGTGAAGGGTCTATTGCTTTCGTGTAAGAGCGTCAGAGTGAATATGAAGCAGCATTCCCTTTTCGGCGTTCTTCATTCAGACCTTCAGTAACTTCGTAACCATTTGTCATATATGCTCCTCACTGTCTTTGGTTTGTGCATCGGTGCAGATTTAATTTTATGTATAAGTAGCTATAGCATCATAAGCACTAAGTATGACCACGAACCTGTTAATCGACAACATATTTAAAGTTTTCGTTTGCTGAACACCTTCGGCGAAATATCGTGTGAAATAAAGCAACATGGAGACAGCCATTGCTATGATATTTATTGCTGACTTAAAGGAAACAGTTCACTTTCCTGAAATTAGTATTTTGCTATTGATTTATGATTTTTATGCTCAAAATGATCATGAAATAAAATTAAAACTTTTTGTAAAAACATTTTTTTCTATATTTTAATATAGGACGAACTATATTCTACGTAAAATAATGTTTGACGCGGAAGCTTATAACGCGTTGACCAATCATATCGCGTAGTTCAAACCTACGCATACTGCATTGGCTGTAAGCAGCATGCTGATTGGCTGACGATGACGTGGCTGCATTCCTGTGCAAGGCACACATTCCTCTGCAAGGCACTCTTTTCGGAACGAGAAATGGAATATCTTCGTCTAGGGTGATCATTGAGCCGTAAAAGCTCCTGATTTGTGCTAGTCCCAGCTCAAGCTAAGAAACTGCTATTCCAGTTCAAAACCCCATGTTAAAAGTGAACTATTTCCTTTAATTCGTTCTGAGAAGAAGCGACAGATTTCGAGGCGGTTACATGAACAATGAAACTCAGCTGAACTGGTGTTGCTCAAGTGAATGAATAGCCACCGGCATCGAAAAATAGCTTCACGCACCTAACACTATTGATAAGCCTTTTATAGGTGAGAAATCGTGTACGAGTCACTTCAGGAAATCTGAGGGATTGCTGCCCCTCATGCTCGCTCGCTTTGTAATCATTCTTCCCGGAGCCTTCCCAGTATATAAATACGACCGAAACATGCCAAAAAAAAAAAAACTTTCAAATGCTATTGAAGTGGCCAACTATCCTCCCCTTGTTCTTCCGACGCCTCTCCTCCCCCCCCCCCCATCGGAGGACATCTCGCTCGAGGGCCGCACGTCTCCTCCGCCGCTGTCGTTCTGTTTACGATGCGTCATTTGGGGCGAGCTCGGCTGCCATGGGCCGGCGGTGGCGTCCGGAGGCCAACACTGTCGGTTTGTCCGGAGACGGTCAACAAACAGTCGCCCCGGGGCGGAGAGGGCGACTAATTGACGCTGGCTACTGGGACGGATGGCGGCAGCCTCTCAATGGCGACTGACGAGGGAAGACGAATGCGGCTGTTGAGGCGACATGACAGAAGGGGTGTTGCGGGAGGTATGACGGGTAGAAGAAGGACGACTGAAAAGGGTGGGACTGGCTACGAATTCTTTTGCATTTGTTTTCATTGTGGTGTTACACGATTGACTTATGAATGCATCGAGCTTTGCATCTTAATTGATCTCCCGTCGATTTTACGTATAAAGCATTGGAGTTTAACACGCTATGCTGAGCATTACTGTTTTGTCCCATATGTGTTAATTTTAAATGTTAATAAGCATAAGAGCCAGCAACCGTGCAGTCTTTGGGAAAGACCTTCGCCGGCCGCACGAATGTCACCCACTACAGCCAGCAGCGACATTCAGCTCGCCATTCCACCAAAGTGCCGATGTGGCCGTTCTCCAGACCAGCCAGTGTTGACCGTGTCTCGCCGGTTGTTTGAGCTGTTCTGACCCCACCGTTAACCCGAGCCGGTGACCTCTGTTGGCTATCCGATTCAAGAATCCGATCGACCATCCATCGGCACGCCACAGAAGTAGATAGCGCCGCGCGGAATGTCGAAAACGACTGCCGTTTGTCGGCCCAAACAGCCGGACCAACAAAGCGGCGGCCGCGCCGCTTACAATCGACGGACAATCGTCGGCACAATCGCCGCCGAGGAAGCCTATCGATGGCGTCAGAAGCGACGCACGCCGCCGCTCCGCGCGCCGGCACAAAGTGTGAAGGGGTGGTCATTGACGCGGCATCTTTGCGTGCCCTCTCACCTGGCTGGGACTGGCGGCGGTGGGGCAGGAATGTTATCCCGGACCAGTGTCGCCGGTGCCTCTCATTGTGCCCATATAGCGTCACAGAGTCGTGGTTTAGTTCCAGTCGCGCCGCCGCTCCGCCATCCGCCGGCGAATCGGCACAAAGGTGTCCGTGTCCCCGAGTCCTCGCCATTCAGACGCGACGGCTACCTGCCGGTTAAATAGCACGCTCGATTTACCTCGAGCCATGGGAACAGAGCCTGTTTTTGGCCACTTCAGCCCCTGGTAGTATTGAAAGACGGCTGCTGTGGAAGGGGAGGGGATGCCACCCGCCGGCAGAGCGGGGGAGGGGAGGGTCGCACGGCCCCGACCACACCGGGGTGGCGACAGCACTGAGCTACTCCGGAGTCCCGGCGATGGTTTTCTGTCAAAACACGGCTTCTGTGCGTCGAGCGGGTGGTGTCGGGGTCTAATCCTTCCGTCTACAAGCGGTCACAACCGATGATAGTGGGGTGCTTTGTTTTACTTTTATGCTGGCATTAGGATCGAATTGATGCATAGCTGTTTCAGGGTGTGCTTGCATACTTGGTAACCGCATGTTACAGCATAATTTCGTGCGGAGCAAGTCCCAATTGTGCACATACCTGAGCACTAAATAGCTGTAATAACAAGTTCGCGACGCAAAACTACTCCACGTTTCCAGTAACAGCAAACGGGAGAGCCGGGCAAATTGTACGGTTCGGTGCACAGAACAGCTATAAATTGCTGCGCATGCCACCCGTGCTGTCTTCACCGTCCCTCCCTCGCCGATTGTGCACTGATAGCGCTGGCGATACCATGTCGCATCTCACATTCATCTGGACTGGACCAGTGCATTTAATTGCTCTCCAGTAAGGCCGGGTGCGTCAACTATATTTCGGGTATCCAAGAAATTTCATAGAAAGTAGAAATGGTGGCCAGCCAATGATTTTTTTTTGTGTTCTTTGATTGAGCATAGGTATACCTGCTTGTATGGGTACAAATACAGATACCTAAAATGGACAGGAATGGTCACCATGTAGCTCTACCCATGGCACGTGCGGTAAAACATGTATAGGCACAAAATACAGGTACCTAAAATGGGCAGGAATGGTCACCATGCATAGCTCTACCAATGGCACGTAAGGTAAAACATGTCACCGTTCATGTTACTTTAAATGAAACGTTATGCGCTACGTTTTATTGTTGTCCGGAACTTTGCAATGTCGCTGTCGTTCTTTCACGACAAAAAATATATTCGGATAAGTAGGTATAAGGTATTTGAAGTTCCGAAGGTAAATGCCTACCTACCTATAATTAATGGGTGCCTAAGGTGCCTATGACAGACGATTACCTACCCATCTAGTTAGGATGTTTGCCCCAAGGCACCACAGAATGTCCTCCTTCAATGAACAATGCGCCTACCACCTCCCGAACGACCACTCGAAATCGGACGGGCAGTCTGGTGGAAACCATTGCTGTGCTACAGGTAAGTGGTGTTACGCATTGCGGCAATGAAATACGGCGATGGTTTCACGATAATATAAACGTTGCCGCCTAGTAATGGCTGATGGCGGCGGCGGTGGGAGATGAAACCATCAGCCGGCGGGGTTATCTGCGCGTGCGCCGAGCAGCACCCGAGGCTGGTTTATGGTTCAGTCCGGTTGCCCTCGGGACAGAATCACTCGGTCATAAATCGGACCCGGTTAGTGTGCGCTCCCCGATGTCCCGCCTGGCCGGAGGATTCCATCCCTAAGAGCGGTTGAGGATAGGGTATACGGTGGAACGGACGACATTCCGGCGGAACAAGCGGCAACGTAATCTATTACATATGTATACTGCATATGGTTTGGGGCTGACGACCCATGTCTCCTCTTCTTGGGTCCTAAGACTTAGACAGCCCTCTCACAATTAAAAAAAAAAAACATAGTACTGTTCACTGAATCAATATGACAAGTCTGTATGCAAAGGGGATCAACACTAACCATGCTTTTGCAAAAGTCTATACCTATAAATATTGTCGTAGTGCCTATATGTACCTACGCACGGCGATGCCGGACTTAGCGTGCTCTGTTGCAAATTACCTATGCAGCCACGCTTTTTTTTAGCTATTTAGGTAATTACTAGAGTGTATCGATAACCGAAATTTGCAAGGAAACTGGCATATTATTTGGCGCAAGGACATAAAAATAATATTTGGGTGCAACATTTTCCTCAAAACTCAAAATTGACTGACCCGGAACGGTTTTTGTAAACCCCATTCCAACTGCTGCGGACGTAGGATGAAGCTTAAGTTCTCCCCTTTTGACGCTAGATGGCAGTGATTCCAGACTGTCTCTAACTTAATTTCAGACATCTGTAAACGTAAAAAAAGCCATTTGGATTAAATTATGCACATTTTTTTACATCATTGGTGTTGGTATATTGCTGTTTTTTCCATTGCAAGTGTTTTTCCATTGCAAATGCATAGCTTTCCACACATAATCACACATAACACAATACACAATACCTATGCATTAGCGCCCTGAGCTCTTAAACACGAACAAGTAAGTAGCAGATTAGGCAACTATTAGCAACTGAGCTCCTGCCGCATCGTACTTTAAGGACTACATATAGCCGGTGCAATTGTGTTACCAGCGACCAAATGTCAAAGTGGACACTGGTCAGGTGCTCGGTAACTGGTGACTGGTGAGCCAGTTTGCTTTCTGTCCTATCTTACGACTAATTCACCATCATCCTTACTTGCACTTCTCCGTGTTCCGGATTAACGGTCCGCCTAGCAGACAACCGATGGAAGTCAGCTTCGGAGTGACCATTTCAACAAATGTATGCTCTAGTCTGTCCCGTTGTGACTTGCCGTCAAAACAGTATGTCCCGGCGCTGAAATGCCGTCCCAGCGGTACAGCGGACTAGTCGTCAGTGGTTGATTGAACCGATTGAGCCTTGGTTGATTGAACCTTACATTGCCCTCTCCCTCTCGTGTTTTATCATCCCAGCATAGCCTGACCCAGAGCATTGCAACCATTATGGTGTCTTTTGACGGAGACGCTGCGGCACACAGCCGGTGCCCGATGGTCGACTTTATTCTGATATTGCCCTCTCCCCGCTAATTCATTTATTCATCATACCACGGCCCTAAAATGTTCTCGAATAGACTAACCCATAGGCTCTAACCAAGCATAACGAAC